GTCCACTCCGGCCTGGCGCTCTTCCCTCAGTGCTAGAGCCTTGGGAGTTGAGGGCCCTGGCATCTCCTGTGTGTGTGGCCTGAGGGGAGGGATGCTCTTGGACTGACCTTGGGAAACCTCACAGCTTCTGGGCCTCCAGCTCCCTTCCTCCCAAAGCCACCCCCAGGAAGCCTCCCGGAAGTTCAGGCCCAGTGTTTCCTCAGGATGGCGTGGTGGGGGATGACGTGGGGATGGAAGTGCGGTCCGAGAGAGCAGACACTCTGAGCGCCCAGACTCCCTTTCCTTATCTGCCAGTTAAAGAGCTGGAGCTGCCGGGAGGATTCTCGGCCAGGCAGACAGCAGAGAATGGGCTGGGCTGCTAAGGCGGACAAGGAAGAGTTCCCTGGAACACCGGCACTGGCTGGGGGTGTGTGTGTGTGTGTGTGTGTGTGGAAGGTCCTGCCTAGGAAAGACCATCAATGGTCTTAGGTGCTTGTTCAAGGGGACTTTGTGTCACTTGGGACTCCTGCTCTGTCCCCGTGGAGGTAGAACAGGAGATCAGCAGCTTGTCCCTGGGACAGCCTGGGGCCATGATGCCCTGCTGAGCTGTTCTGTGGTGCCCTGGGTCTGCAGTTTTGTGGGAGTAGCTTTGGGGGCAGAGCCATCCTCCTGGTGGATGCAGGGAAACAGCTAATAGTTCTGAGTCTGGGCTGCAGCCAGGGGAAACAGATGGAGTGCCAGGTCAGGAGGCCAGATTTCTAGATAGTTCCCTGCCAGTCCATGCTCCTTAACCTTTCACTTCATTAGCAATAGCCACCGAGCAGCTATTATGCGCCAAGCACTGGGGACATCATTGTAAACAAAACAGGCACCATCCTTGCCTTACAGAGGTTTGGAAAGATAAATGAAACAGAGGATGAAAAGTGGAAATGTAAAGAAGGTGCCTCACCAGTGAAGTCATTGTGTCCTGTGCAGAGGGGCAGGCAGAGCAGCAACAGAAGCAGAGCAGGAGGGGTGGAGGGCAGGGCTTCCCTCCTTGCTCCACTCTGCACTGGACCTGACACCTCTCTCAAACTGGGGGGAGCAGGGGCTCCAGCACGAGAGCCCTCAGCAGCAATGCCCAGTTCGGGCAGCAGAGGGCAGCAAGGGGCCTGCCTGCTGGAAAGCAGCCTTTAAAAATGTGGTGGTGGTGCTTGGGAGGCGTAGCGGGGACAGGACCATTGGAGAGTTGTGGGGGACATGGGACCCTCGACCAGCCTTCTCTTGGGGGTATATTCAGGTGGCTCCTCCTACCTAGTCCCTGGAAGCCTGGCTAACAGGTGCTCAGCCTGTTAGCCAGAAAGGGCACTCTTCCGCTTCTCTAGGATCCTACCCAGCCCCCAATCTCTAGGGGGTTTGACCTTGTGGCCCTTGGTGGTGGGAGTGGCCATTCTGAGAAGGAACCCCATGCCTATTTTCTGTCTGAGACAAGTTGTATGGTGCTGGTTGGAGAGGTTTAAGCTACCTGCTGCCCAGACAGCCCTGGTTCCCAGTCTGGTCCACTGTCCCCATCAATGGAATTTAGGGCTTTGCTGGCTTTCCTCCTGGTGGGCAGGAGATTTTAATTAAGAGAAGCATACCCTCCCCTGAGGTTTCTGCACTAGCAAGGTGAGCGAGAGCCTGGGGCTCTGAGCGCCCAGGGCTCCTGCAGGCTGCAATAGGCCCTGCTCCTGGTCACCAGCTTGTTCCCTACCAAAACCTCAAAAAGCAGCTTGCAGAAGGGAGTGGGTGCCAGGGGGCAGGAAGGGACCTTTGGGGAGACTGGGCTGTGAACTGAAACACCAGGGCCGCAGCAGATTGCCTTTCCTGGAACCCCAGATGGGCAGAGGCAGCAGCAGCTGGCTGGGCCCAGTCTTCCCAGCAATAAGAAAAGTGGGTGAAGGTGACAAGCAAGAGCCTGGCTTCCCAGGTAGACACTACGTGACTCCTGGCACGTGAAGAGTATGTGTGTTTCCCGGGCAACCAGCTGAGCCAGGAACAAGGAGAGGAGGACAGGAGTGTGACAGGAATGCAAGGGAGGGAGGGAGGCAGTGTTGTTGGCTTCCACACTTGGCCAGCACCCTTCCGCCTGCTTGGCGCTGCTGTCCCCCTGCCCTGTAGGGTCACTGTATTTCTCGAGCATCCTTATCAGCTTCTCCTTGCTCTCTGGAAGTGGGAGCGAGGGGAGCCCCTGCTAATAAGCCTGGGCCCCCTCTTCTGCTAAAGCAAAGAGGTGGCCAAACCCTTGGTGGGCAGGTTGGTGTAAGGCTGGGACTCAGCCCTTGCTCAGGTTTGCCAAAATGCTTGCAGAAAAAGAAGAAAAAAAGATGCAGGCTCTAGTGAAATGATGAGTGGTCTAGGCTGGAGGACACCAGGACCCATTTATCAGGGCAGCATTTGGTTCAGGCAGGCTGCAAGCTGCCCTCCCTGTGGGCAGAGCTCAGTTCAAGGGGGCTGTATGGCTGTGAGCAACAAGGACAGGGAGGGACTGTCCCCAGATGATGCTCTGGGTACAGGGTTGGTTGACTAAGGGATCTGTGTTCCTGGGGTCTGTGTTTCGGTCCAAAGGCTGAATGCAGTGCCCTGGAATCTTTTGCTCTGGCCTATCCCACTCCCATCACTCCTTAGACATGTTTTCTGAATGAGTGACTAGGAAAGCCACAGGCTAGGGCCTTAGGGCAGGTCTGGGAGGTGGAGGACTTCAGGTGCCGAGAGGAAAATTGTAGGAGCCACAGGAAACACTCCCTTACCCTGACCAGGAAAGCATCCACTCCTCCTTCCTAGGCAGTGCCCCAGCCAGAGCTCTGGTGGCCCCAGGGGGACACTCTTCTTGATGTTGTCTGGCCAGCACTGTGTGGGCCTGGGGGAGTGGAATCACTGTAGCCTTTACTTCATAATCTCTTGCCTGGGTGGCAGCACTTGGTGCAGCCACTGCAGAGCTGTGGTGGGCTCCTGGCCAGCCTCTCCCTGAGCAGGCCAGGGCCAGCTGACCTACAAGCACCAGAAAGCTCTGGCTTGGCTTTGGGCAGGTGACGGCACTCTCAGCAGGGCTGAGCTGCTGTCAGGGCCAGGGGTTCCTGGTGGTCAGGTCTCTTGGATACAGGGTGGCCCCTGGTGGGTGGGGACTGAACTGGGAGGCTGCTGGGTGTGGAGTGACCAGGGTGGGCCATGGCCGGAGGAGGCCTGTGGGAAGCTGGGGCAGCAGGAGCCAAGCAGCCGAGCTGAGCTGGCAGCCGATGAAGGCCTCAGCACAGCTCTCAGTGCATCACTGGCTGGTCCAACACCAAAACCTTCAAAGCATTTGCCTTTCTGGCAGGGTCTGGAACAGAGCTGCGGCTGGGCCCGGGAGGGGCCTCGGTGCGCAGGGGAATACAAGCTCCAGATCTGCATCCAGAGGCGATTTTCCCAGGCTCCTTCCTCCCACACAGCGGCTCCCTCCCTCGGTTCTGGAGATGGATCAGGTCCTTCCCGCCAAGTCCTCATGGCCGTACAACTCAGCCATGGGCTGGGCTGCTCCTGTCTGGGGAGCAAAAACCAGGGCAGGATCCAGGATAGACAAAGGCTCATTAGCTGTAGCCCATGTCCCCTCCTGCCAAGGATGGCCCAGGCCCTCAGCAGCCAGAGAGGGCTATTGAGCTTCAGGCCCGAAATGGTCAGACTTCTATGTGAGCCCTGGTCGGGTCTGATCTGTCTCAGAGCAGAGGCTTCTGGGACTGGGGACGAGAGAGCAAAACAGCAAGTGGGGGCAGACTGCACTAGGACTGAAGGTTACTAGTGATTACCTCTAGCAGAGCCTGGAGAAAGTCTGCCCAGAATGGCCCCAACTCCCCTCTGCCTTTGGATTCAGCTTCCTCCCCCACTCAACCTTTAACTAGACTTGCTGACAGGAACAAAATGCACTCCTTTTGAGTTTCACCTCCTTTCATTTCCTTTGCCCTCCCCCTGGAAGTGGTTTTAATGAACAGTGAAACGGCTAAAAGGCAATCAGGAGGAGTAAGCGCTGGGGTAATTAAACTGTCTTCCCTTTTTGGAGTGGAACCTTAGCACCTGGGCCTGGCTGCCCAGGGGCTGGGGCCTTGCACACCGGGAAGCGCTCTGGCTCCACAGCACCCAGGCCTCCCTTCCTCCCCAGGGTCCTGGAGCATCCAGATGGAGCGAGGCAACGCCCTGGTGGTGCTGCGCAGCCTGCTCTGGCCAGGCCTCACCTTCTACCACGCTCCGGGCACCAAGAACTGTGGCTACATCTATGTGGGCACTGGGGAGAAGAACATGGACTTGCCCTTCATGCTGTAGGAGGGGCCGCCCAGGGACTCTGTATGCAGAGCATCAACATTATTTTCATACGTTTCAGTGAGTTTGGTCTGTTTGTTCTGTCTTGCAGCTTCCCCTCATCCCCACCTCCATCTGGTGTCCAGGCTCTGAGGAGAGGCCCAAGGAGCAGGGAGACCCAGCTCCTAAGCAAGTGGCAGAGGATCACAATGTGCTAACAAGAGAGAATGGCGGGTGGAAATGGCCCTTTGAGGAAGGCAGCTCCTGGACTCACATCAGAGTTGTACACAGGCCAGGCAGACCAACTTGCCTCCTTGCAGCCCCCAGGCCCAACACTAACAGCTGTCAAAACAGAGGGTGGGAACCTGTTCAGCCCACAAACTCCCGTCAGCTGCATTGTGTAGCCAGCACCAGAGATCAGTGATTCTGCTCAGTAACTGGCTGGAAACAGGCCCAAGCCCCCAAGCAGTGAGCACACATCCAGTGGGTGAAACATGAGCCTGGTTTATGACATTCCGTTGAGCAAAACTCCTGTCCCCTAGCACAGAGTACAGCCCCAACCAGCAAGGGGACCATTATAGTTGCCAAAGAACCCAACTGCCCTGCCTGCCCCCGGCTCCCAGCACCGCTGCCGGCGGGCCACTGAGGGTGGTCCACTGCCACTTGTGTCCTTCATGTTGGCGGGGCCAGGCCAGCCGTGGGAAGGGCAGGAGTGCAGGAGCTGCGGGCAGGTTCTAACCCTGATAGAACACCAGAGGCTTTTTTGTGTAGCGGACGTTGTCTTTCAGGAGGGGCGATCCCACGGCCATGCGCACCTTGTTCCAGCGGTGGCCTTTATTGTAGATGGGCTTGACAGAGCGGACGGACCAGCGAGTCAGGTACCTGTGGAGGGAGGACCAGGAAGTGGCTGAAGGCTGGGGTCCCAGGATGGAGCTGGGAGAGTGGGCACTGCCTCCTCAGGCCAAAGCCATGGCTGTCCGACCAAACCCTTTTTCGTTTTCCTTCCTTGAGGAGCCGGGGCTTTTCCTGAGTGCTGCACGCAGATGGGCTGGGTTCTTGTGTGTGTGTGGCAGCCCAGGGCCACATGCTCCCTTGATCTTTATGAGTTGTCAATGTTTGTGTGCATTTGCTGGGAAAGGAGGTGGAGAAAGAGGCTACTCAGAGAGCAGATCATTCCTCTGTGGCCTCAGCCATGGGGAGCGGAGAGGCTGATGTAAGGGCCTGGAGGAATCCTTCCCTCTTCCCCACTTGGCTCCTTCTGCCACCCCAGCCTTCAGGGAGCTCCCCTGGGTAGCCATAACTGGTGCAGGCCCCTGCCCCTCACTCAACCCATGATGGGAGCCAAGGGTGAGGGCTCATGGGGGTAAGTAGGAGAGGTGGGGAAAGATGGCTGCCGCCCAGTCCTTTGGCCTCCTTTGGGGGTGGCCAGGGCGCTAATGTTCCCGGAAAAGTGGCTCATGTCGGCCGGGGCTGGGGTTTACTCCATTCAGAATGAAACTCGGCTCCTGTCCAGAGAGGCCCACCCTTCATCCTAAAAGCTCAGCTATGGCAAAGGCCAGGGTCCTCCCTGCCTCCACTCTAGCTGCGACTCAACACAGCCACCTCCAAAAACCTCAAATGAGAGATGTTTTTAATTAAAAAACAAAAAACAAAACAAAAAAACAACCCTTGGATGAACGTTTTTAGATGAAAGTAAAAATATGATTGCTGATTTATACATTTCAACGGAGTCTTCTGCTCTCAGCCCTGTGCAAAGAAACAGCTCTGAGTGGAGTAAGAGCTGGGGGCGGTGCTGGCAGGCAGGCAGGACTTCTCTGAGTCTCCTGTCAGTGTCAATGCCAATGCCCCAATAGGGAGGGAGACTTCTGAGGAGTGGACTGGCCCCAGGGACTGCTTTTTCTATGGCTGCTGGTTCTGGGACAGCAGGAGAATAAAGAGTAAGGGAAGGAATACCTGGCAGGCCCCTGGGCTGGCATCTCCCAGTCTCCAGAGGGGATGGGTAAAGAGATAGGATACGGGAGCTGGTTTCCCAAAAAGAGTGCTCAGGTGGAACGTCAGAACCCCAGAGATCCCCCAGGCTGACCGGGTTCTCCAGAACTGCTGCCCTAGAAGTGTTCCTCCCCTGCCCTGGAGAGACCGAGGAAGCCGGGCTTCAGCTAGCCCTGGGCCTGATGCCTGTGCCACATGGAGCAGCCAGCTGGTGGGGGAGGGGTGCCTGGGTGGCCTCCAGTCAGCTTTTTGGGAAGATTCCAGCTCTAGGAAGAACCAAAGCTCCTTCCTACCACTCCTGAAGGGGCAGAGGAAGGAGGAAATGTAGCTCTCCTGAGCCCAAAGCCCAAGGATAGAATCATAACGTCCCTTGCAAGGGAATCGTAGCCAGGACTCTAACTCCCCCTCTTACCCCCCCACCCGTGGCCTCTTGCTACCCAAGGGCCCCCACACATCATCAATCCTGTGTCACGTTAAAGGACACCGGATATATGGGAGGGAGCCTGGCCTTACTTCAAAGGCCTGAGGGCAGGATGGATTGTGTCCTTAGGCCTGCTGCTGTCTCTTAACAAGACAGGGGTAGGGGGTGAGGGGGAAGGTAGGCTCAACCTCCAAATGGTCCATAGCATATTTGGGAAAGACAGAAAGAGGTTACTAGGTCCTGACCCCCAAGGACTGTTGGCAGATAGCCCAGCTAACAATGTGGGAAAGGCAGGTGGAGATGGGCATGGGGCCGGGGTGGTGGTGAGGCATCAATGAAGACCCAGCTTTGGCCCTGCCCTGCCAGCCCAGCAATATGTGGCTGGCATTTGCCTGTACTCCTACCCTCGTGCCTAGGTTCTGTTAGAGATCAGACTGGGAGGTTTGCTAGGGGGTGGGTTAAGTCTTGCTTTGCTTCACCATCTTTGGTCAAGTCCAGTGGCAGCTGGACAGGTTGAAAGAGGGAGGAACCATTAATAGAGGAGAACAAAAATAAAAAATAAAATCAGTTTTACAGACTTGCTCTACTCTCAATAAGGGGGTATTACAGATCTAGGAGTATGAGAGTGTGGCAATATCAGATATGGGGGAAGGGAAGGAACATACAATAGGATGACTGAGCATTAGACAGGTCTGCTCCTACATTAGAGGGTGCCACCCTGGCTTAGGCTGAAAGGCAGATTGATTGACTGAAGGATCTAGGGGCCTTTCTCTTCTCTAAAACCTCAGGACCTCCTAGGTCAGCATGTGCAGCTGGGCAGGTTAAGTATACAATTCTAGGAAGCGCCATTCACAATCTAGTCTATGTGGATACTGCCTTCCAGTTTTGCAGTGAATGACTTGCACAGCTATATAAAGTGGCCCCACCCCAGAGAGCGCTCCCATTTTTAAAGCCTCATTTTGCCCTTTAATAAACCCAGTGCTGGGATACTAAAAGTTTGAAGTGCTCTGACATCCCCATAGCAACCTAGTATGATGTCATAAACAGGGGATTAGCACATTCTAATGCCCAACCAGCAAACTGCCTTATGCTCCTTGCCCCTGTGCTAAGTGCCCTATTAGGGAGGGAAGAGGAAAGAGGGCTGAGGGCAGCAGGGGAGGGTGACAGAAGCATGTGCACCGCCAACTGCAGCCTCAATAGGACCAATGGGGGTGGGTGCTCAAGCTGGATGGGATGGAACAGACAGCCAAATAACACACTAGCTTTCCCGGGCTGTGGGATGAGCTTTAAGAAATGTCTTTCTTGACAGAATACAATGAGAACTAGAGGCCTGCAGAATGCTCAGGGGGTTGACACCCTAGTGTGCTTACCGGTTGAGTTGAGGTTTCTTTTTTGGAACAACTCCTTCAGGAAGCAGAGGCCTATGATTTGGCAACAGACCTGAGTGGAGGGAAGAGCATATAAGGAGATGGTCTCTGACATCCCCATAACAACCTAGTATGATGTCATAAACAGGGATTAGCACATTCTAATGCCCAACCACCAAACCTCCTTGGGGGACTCAGGGAAAGCCCAAGAGGGTGGAAGGTTAGCACTGAGGGAATTATAATGAAGACTCTTCCAGGAGGGGCTACACATGGGGCAGCTGGTGGGGAGATGGCGGCCACAGTCCCAAGGGGAATTCTACCTGCTCGGTGGGCCATCTTCACACACTCCTCAATCTTGCGGTGTTCTTCCTGGCACAGGCCTGTGATCTTTCGAGGCAGCATGCCTCCATGAGGCCGGATGAACTGACTGAGCAGCAGAACATCCTAGAAGAAACAGAAAATAGGAGGTGAGGGTCACCTGGGTGGACTTTTGATGCTGGGAAGCCAGGCCACGTGACCTACAGGGGAGGCTGTTGACCCTGGCACTCCAAAAGGTTGAGGTCTCTATTGGGAACTGACCTGAGACTACTCCCTCCATACAGAGCTTTGCACACTGGTCTACTACCGTCATCCTTACAAAAGTTAAATCCTAACTTTTTTTTTCCACATTTATTTTTAAAATATATTTTTTAATTGATTTAGAAGGGAGATGGAAAGAGATAAAAACATCAATGATGAGAGAGAATCATTGATTGGCTGCTTCCTGTATGCCCCACACTGGGTAATAAAGCCTGCAAGATACAAACTGAGGAAGGGACCACGGCTGTGAAGTTAAATCCCACATCTTCTAAGCCCCTGTGACCAGATGTGAATGGACTCTCAGGCTTCCTCTGGACCATCGGACTGCTTTGAAGAGTCAAGGAAACAAGGACAAATAGAATCAAAATTAAGACAAGAGACCATTTCCTACCCCCAACTCTCACAGGATAGTTGAGGGGGTTAAATAAAAGCCACCATCTCTCCCCCTCACGCCCCACTCCCCCCCCCAGGGGCCTGGCACACCAGTCTTAGCAGTCATGTCCACAAACTGACTTGCTGCCCTGGCAGGCGCCTAGCTGTATAACCGCAGATTTGTTTTAATCACTGGACAGCTCCTGAGGGACCCAGACCCCCCAATTCCCACCCCTGTAATCTTCAGAATCTGATGAAAAGAACTTGGATTGGATTATCCAGGGCTAATAAACTGGGCTCACTGCCCTAGCCTCCCCCATTGCAGGCTGCCAAGGAAGTTAACAGCTTTGTGCAGCTCAGGCTAACGGTGTCCTGAGTGGAAAGGGGTAAAAGGAAAACAACTTTAGCCTTTACCTCGGAGGGGATTGGATTTCTTCTGCTGGGTAAACAGAGCCAAGTCGTATTTCCTGGAAATGGCTGGTAGGAAGAGTGCCCATGGTGGTCAGGCAGGTTCACCCCCCATCTTCAGTTGGGATTCCAAGTATGCCCAGAACCCCACTAGCTTCCAGGTAACAAGAAGCTGTGAATATTGCCGCATACCTGCAAGCTTCCTATTATTCCAGGCGGCCATCAGAGGCAAGGCCCAGGGCAGGGTGAGAGCACACCCCCACCCCACCCCTGGTGGCCTAAAGCCAAGGCTCCCAGCCTGGGAGATCAGTTGGGTCATTCTGTTCAGATCCCATGGCCTCTCCTGCTCTTACCACCTGACCGGGATCTCTGCCCTTAGTCACCCCATTCCACCGAGGGGCACAGGGACAACCGGCAGACCAAATTGGCCCAGAGCCTCAATCACCTGAAACCTAAAAATAGGGTGCTTAATGCCACCAACAAAACACTGAAGGATAAGTATGAATTTCTCCAGGGTTGTGTCCTTTTTCCCAGGTTCTCCCCATTGCTAGAGAATACAGAGTGATAGTTGGGATTGTACTCTACGTGGGGTTTGTATCCCCAGAGTCTGATAATTAGCTGGGTGACCCGAGGCAAGTTCATTAACTTTTCCATGCCTCAAATGTCCTTGCCTATAAAACCAGGATGAAAAAAGTACCTACTTCATAGGAATACTGTGAAAACTGAGTGAAGATGTGTAAATGCTTACAACAGTGCCTTTTGCAGAGCATGTGCTCAGTGCACGGTACTTATTCACTGTTGTCATCCCATGGAAATAGATGAAGCGGTAGAAGAGCTAGAGCAAACAGGGGCCTCTGTAGCTCCAACAGAGAGACAATAATGTGTCTCCAGATCACAGAGAGGCCTTTCCAAACAGCCTCTCATTGTAAAAGAAAGAAACCAAACCCAGATCCTGATTCCACCCTCTTGGGAACACAACCCTGCAAGACTTGGGTACCGGGCTCTGGTGGTCTGATTCACATGCAACCAGACAATGAACCAAATGACTCTCAACCCTGGCTGCACATGAGAATGACCTGGGAGTTTTAAAAAGTGATGGCCAGGCCGACGGAATCAATGTCTGGGAATGGGACCTAAACGTTTTGTAAAGCTTTCCTGTAATTCTCATGTGCAGCAGGGCTGAGAGCTTGTCTCTGATGGCTCCATGGGATGCAGCAGCAGCCATGGGGGAAGAGCTGGGGGCAGGGATGGCGCTTGTAATCCAGGGAAGATGACCCCTCTAACATGCAGAGCCCCGTATCTTTGCACACTCACCTCATAGCCATACTTGTGCTTCAGGTTCCACCGGCAGATGGGGCACTGGCCAGAGGGGTTAGGGGGATTTGGACTTTCCCGGGGAGTGTCTGTGATACGGCCTTCGATCTAGGAGGCAGAGAAAGAAAGCAAGTGAGGGAGGGGCCGTGTGCTCACTAACACTTGAGCAACTCCCCAAACTGGTGGGACTGCTGCATAACTCCACCTTTGGGAGTTTTGTGGAATGGGTAATAGGTCTCTGCTGGAACTGTGGTGGTGGTTTTGCAGTGGGCCTTGGAGTGTCCACAGAGAAGTTGGTAGCTTTAAGGGCAGTGGGAACTGAACTTAATGCTGGTGGCAAGAGGGAGAGGTTTGCTGTATCAGCTGAATGCTACTTTTCCTTCCTCACAAACAAAAACCACCTTTGGGAAAAAGTAATAAATGCACATGGTAAAAAGTTTCAAACTGCGCAGGGATGTAGAGTCCAAAGGAAGTCTCCTCCCATCCCACCTATCCTTCCGAGGAAACTGCAGCTCCCAGCTTATCTTACAGAGCGAAGTCTGTGCCAGTGGTTCTTAGCCTGCCATGATTTTGTCCACTCTTTCCCATGGGACACTGGATAATGTCTGAGGCATTTCTAATCAACCGTCACTACTGGGGGATGGGGTTGTGACGGTTGGCAGCTAGCAGGGAAGCTAACCATTCTACAATGCACAGGATAGTCCCTACCAGCAAAGAATTAGCCAGCCTAGGATGCCAGCAGTGCCCAGATATCCGTGTGCACTCCTGCTGCTTCTCTCTCTCTCTTTTAAACACACAGATGGGAGAATACATTCCAGTCTTCCTCCTTGCTTTCATTATTTTGGATGCCACCTTTTCAACCGTGCTGAGGCCACGTGCAAAATGACCTCTGCTGTGGCTGTTGTATCCTGTGACACAGCCTTGGAATTACTAAGTGCAACGGACCACTGATCTGGGAGTCAGCTCCAATTGCAAGAGGGGGGGGGGGTTTAGAAAGCCTTGCTGTTTGAAGCCATGGATTATGAGAGCGAGGCTGGGACAGGGCTCAGAGGCTTTGGAAGGGAAGTAACACTGTCTCCTGAGGTAGAAGTGGCAAACAGGAGAGGAGCTGGAAGCAATCCTTGGTTGTGCAGGGCACTGCTACCTACCTTTCAGCCAGGGCCAGAAATAGAGAAGTGTGCTAAGGAAAACATGTAGGTGTGAGTAGGCTTAAGCGGGGTTAAGGTGTAAGGTGGTCTGTGGGGAGAGAGCTAACATTCATCGATTCCTCATTATATGCCCAGTTTTGTGCTAATCATGGTTCACATGTGTCATCTCATTTAACCCCACAGCCTGGGGAGAGAGGCATCATGATCATACTTTACAGATGAAGAAAGTGAGACCCCGGAGAGTGAGCAATAAATACCACCAGCCAAGGCAGCGCCTCTCCAGGCAGGGATGGGCTCCCTCCCCCAAGTTTCTCCTAATGCCACCGTGTCTCCATGTTCATTCTACAAACAGCAGATTCATGCCCCGCATGAAAAACAGTCTTCACACTCAGAAGCCAGATGTGTTTTCTCTCCACCAGCAGGGAGTTCACAGGGTAAATGCTTGTTTCAGCTTTGAATAAGGAAATAAGGTGCCCTGAGGGGGAGGGGGCCCCCTCCAAAGCACTATTTTGAGGTTAAGCAATGCAAAAGCTGAGGGAGAATTCTAGGGAAGACCCAAAAAGGGAACCCGAAAACCTTGATCTGGGGATAAGTCTGCTTGGCTGGCTGCCAGAAGGGTTAAATCCCTGGTTGACATGGAAGCTATACAGGCTTCTAGGAGCTGTGTGGAGGGGCTGTGGTTTGGAGGCAAGGAAAGCCATGTGAAAACAATGCCGTCTTTTAGGGATTATAGGATAATCTAGGTCCCATGACTCCTGAAGGAAGAGAGGTGAGATGGGCCCAACAGGGAAGGGGGAGTGGTTGGATCAAGTCATTCTAGCTTTCTTACCAACAGACAAGTCAGGGTGCTCGCTAGTAGCCCAGGGTCCAGAGAGTGTCACCTTTTAACGGAACCACTGAAGGAGTAGCTTAGTCATTCTGGGCAGAAAGGAAAGGAGAGGAGATCTAGGATCCTGGCCTCGGATCAACTTACTCTGGTCTTCAGTCCTGCTATTGCCTTAGTTTCCCCTTTGGAAAACTAATTTATCACCCTCCAAAGAACATATCAGTAAAGACCTTGTCATCCACATGGCCATTTTAAATAACAGATTCTTCAATTCAGGTATAAGTGACTGTTCCTGATGAACCACACAATAGCATACATCTTGAACAATAGTAGACTATAGATTTATGGTCCCAGAGGGACCTGATCCTGGAGCTAGGAGCCCAGTTTGGACCCTCCCTCTTTCCCTCCGTCAAAGGAGCAGCCAGGCAGCTCCAAGTGTTATCACCATTAAAGAGGTTATAAATGGCCAACTCGATGATACTTACTATAGTTGTCTTCCCTTCTTGGATCTCCACCACTACAGAGATAAAGGGGAAAAATTAGGTCAGCCATTTAATAAGGAACAGAGAGTTTCAAATAATAGCTCAAATTCTACAGCAGAAAAATAGAGCCTTCATTCTGCACTCTCCCACAGTCGCCACCTAGAAGGGAAAGCGTGCAGGGTTCACCTCCAAGTGCCACGGCTCTATGCCCCTGAGGCTGGGTGGGGGCGAGCCCAGACACCCAAGTAATATCATCTCTCTGGGATTAAGAGTCTCCACACTGTTTTTGTGCCTTTCTAAGCCAAGATTCATCTTGGTGCTATCTAAGGAAATTGGCAACATGCTGCCATACTACGGCTAGCAATAATGACCTGAGTGTGTGTGTGGTGGTGGTGGTGGCGACAGCAGAAGCATGTAAAAGACCTTCAAAAGTACCCACTTACTAAGAGAATCAGACAAATATAATTCCTGACCTTGATTAGTTTACAATCTTAAGTTACAGCACTGAACTAACACAACTCCAATGGCCCTGGGTAGATAAGCAATGAGACAAGTTCACTCCTAAAATTCATTCTGAGAACCTTGAGTAAAAAACTATATGAGGACAACTGTATGAGTTAAATCCTCTTCTTTTCTCCATTCCTCCCTGCAGGGTTGCATTTAAAAAAATATATATTTTATTGATTTTTTTACAGAGAGGTAGATAGAGGGATAGAGAGTTAGAAACATCGATGAGAATCATCGATCAGCTGCCTCTTGCACACCCCCTCCTGGGGATGTGCCCGCAACCAAGGTACATGCCCTTGACCGGAATCGAACCTGGGACCTTTCAGTCCGAAGACCCATGCTCTATCCACTAAGCCAAACCGGTTTCGGCCAGGGTTGCATTTTGTTATCTGCTGGAGAGGTGTGATAAAAGAGGTGGGAGTGCCCTGCTGGTGTGTGTGGCTTAGTTGGCTGGGTGTTGCCAGGTGTATTTCCGTTGCTGGTTGATTTCCAGTCAGGGCATATGCCTGGGATTGTATACTCAATCCCTGATAGGGGTGTGGAGGAGGCAGCCGATAGAGTTTTGCTCTCATATTGATGTTTCTCTCTCCTTCCCTTTCTCTCTCAAAACCAATAATAAAAAAAAGAAGTGGGCACAGGGGGCTACGGATACTGGGTTCAGGAAGACAACTGCAATTCCAAACTGAAAGGGACTCCCTCAGCTCTTTGCCTCTAGGTCCGGCAGCCAACAGAGAACCCGAGGGAAAGACAATAAGTCACACACATCTGTCAGGCTGTACATATTTCTGACTAAGATGCAGAATGACAACTCCAACAATATGCAAAGGGAGAACCAAGCTAAAAGCCCACATTTGGCAAATATAATCAAACAGAAAATTCTTGGAGATCTTTGTTTGTTCTCCCGGTTTCTTTAGAAAGAGAACTGTTAGCATAGGAACTGGCACATAATTCCATGCAGATGCTCAATTAATGTGTACTAGCTCTCAGGGAGCAAAATATTCGTCATGGTCCCTTTCTGACTGTTAATTGCTGTAATAGGAAACTTGGGCTCACATAACTGCAAACTGTCTCCACACATACTAAAATCATATTTTAACAGCAGCTTGGCTACCACAATTAGTTTTACTCAGCTTTAGCCAAGGCAAGCTTACCGTTTAAAAAGAACCTAAGGTTCTTAACTTTGACCATCAAAGTTATGGATCTCTCCCTAGCACACATACAATTAAACATGAATTTTAGGAGACTCAGAGCCCTGAAGCTATATATACAAATAGTAATATTGTTTTTCTCTCAGTGCTGGTAGTAGGTGATTTTTAGTTTCTTCTTTATGCCTATCTGTATTTTCTAAACTTTCTAAACTAAATATGTACTGCTTTTGCAATAAAAAACAATAAGAGAGAAAGAATATGTCTAAGGAAAAAAAGTGAGGCGATTCTAACCCAACCAGAGTCCCACAGCAACATCTGTGATCGCTGAGCTCTGTGACTGACACCTAATTGGACACAGACGGCTGGAATTGCTTCCCATTTGTTTCTGGGCACGGCTATTCATAAAGACTCATTACTTTTAAATAACCTACCTGAGAGAGCCTTTCCATTTCCAACTCCAGACACTCCAAGTTGTAACAATGACAAGAAAGGCCCTGAGGCTTTCTCCCAAACATTGCAGTTACCAATCAATTCACTAAGACAAACTAGGTTTCTCCCAGTAAAAGGAAATGCGTCACCCACACACGGATCTACTTGTTCAGAACAGAGACCCGCCTAAACGGGATGTGGGGGAGACTCAACCTGGTGCTCAGTCTGGAGGCCAGCTCAGTTACAAAAGGACTGTCACTGTAATGTGTTAACCTATAAACAAGGGGGTGCAGAAGGAGGGCACAGCTCCAGCCCACTAGGGCTTCCAGGCACCCCAGAAACACTGCACATTTATAAACTAAGTTGGATGGAGGGGTGACCAAATCAGAGCAACAACAGGTAGGAGGAAAGTTTTTAAGAATCATCGTCAGAAACAAAAGGAGAACCATTCTGATACCACTGAGTCAGCACTAGAACAATGCCCCGAAACACAAAGCAGATAAACATGTGGTTTCTTCTCTGTGGAGGCACTTGGGTCCTAATCATGAGGTAAACAAGTCTAACAAAACACACATCACTCCCGGCAAAGAACCAGACCTTGAAGTCATCCCACTGGCCCCTGGAAAGGAGATCAAAGACCATGGCAAGCTCCACTGTTCACAAGCTCCCCACACAGCAACTGCGAGCCAGTGAATCATCTTACTATAAGCCAGTGGGTAAAACATTAGGCAGATGCTTATCTAATAGAGATAATTTGTCAAACCAGAAGGAATGACCTGAGAATTCACTGGAGATCGAGATTAATCAGGGCGGTGTCTCAGTGCTAGGGCAGAAGGCCTGGCTGGAGCCCGAAGAGGCTCTGATAGATTTTAAGCCTCTCAAAACGAGATAGGAATCAAAATAGTATTGATTTTCAGTGTGCGTACAAAAACATGTCAAAACCAAACAAAACCTGAGATCCATTTTGTCCCTGGCCTCCTCTCCATTTAAGAGAAGTGGGGGTGGCTAAGAAAAGCTGGACTAGGAGATTTAGGCACTAACATAGAACTTGTTTAGAAAAAGATGGAATCACTGTGTCGTTCTGATAAATGGTTATATCAAGTAAACTCAGGAAAGAAATGAAGCCCTTTTCTAAACTAGAATCAAGGGCCAACATCTTCAAAGACAGGCACTTATCATACAAATCAAATAATCTGTTCCACAGGAGGCAACAGATTTGCTGAGCACGGGTGGAGGTATAGCCAGCTCCACCTATTGTGGAGTAACAACAGAATAGGAAGACAGTCTTGCCCTAGGGGAGAAAAGGGAACGAAACCAAGTATGGGAACTTCACTATAATAAAGTCCATGCCTCGTAAAGAGGTCCTTTGAGTGCTTCAGTAAATACTCGTCTAGGATGGAGTCCAAGATAACTGAATTATAACAGTCCAGAGCAAACAGCATTGCGGTAAGATTGCAGTGAACACAGAAAGACCTTGATGGCCACATAAACACAGACAGTGCACAGCCTAACTGTTTAAGTAAAGGAGGAAGTGAGGAAAGATTAATGATGAGGAGTGGAGGCATGGCTACACAAAGTGCCCAGAGACCAAGGTCCTTCTTGAAAGGGTCCATGGAAACCAAGTGCCAGAGTATGAAGGAATGGAGTAACTGAATGGCAGGTTGGCTAAGAGGTGGCACTGACAGTCTTAGAGGGTCAGAAGTAAATGCATGTTTGAGATGTGTGTCTGCACTTCTGGTCATTAACTATTTTTCTCAATCTCCCTCCTCTCAAGCACCCCTCTCTTCTGTTCATCTTTCATTCTACCACTGAAATGTTCTGATTCTCTCATCACCTCCCATTTTTCTCTTGGACCCCCTGTGGGAATGTCCCTCTGCACTCTGCTTTAGGATGAGTCTTATTGCTGCAATTCTTTAAAGCCCCAACTTGCTCACTCCTCTCTCAAAGCTTTCAGCTGCCTTGTCTGAAATGCTATAGCTAACTGGAAAAGATGAAAATTCCTTTCAGCTTTAATCATTTCAACTCTTTCTTATCTAGGTGTCTGATAGATCATTAACATTCAGATAAGCAACATGCTTATTTTTCGTTTTAAATATGTTTCCTTCATAAAAGCTCTGAGTGATAATGCAGGAATAAGGTCAACACAATCTTTGCTAAGTCTGGCAGTGCTAACCATAGACACTAAGTGGTCTTCAGCAAGTTAACGATGTGGGCTTTCAGGGAAGGGAGGTACTGAGGTGATGTTACTGGTGGAGAGGGAAGAGCACTGGCTTTACTTTCAACTCCAGCACTCACTGGCTGTGTGATGTTGAGTGGTTACTGAACCCCTCTGGGCCTCATTTGTAAAAATATCAGTAATATCCAGCTTTAAGGATTGCTGGGAAGATTAAATAAATGTAGGTGAAAAACCTGGCACAGTGTTTGCACTTAAAAAACCACAATTTCCATATTTGTGTTCCTTCTATAATAATATATATTTTTTGTTAATTCCCAACAGAAGATATTTCCCCAATGATTTTTAGAGAGTGGAAGGGAGGGGGAGAAACAGAGAGAGAGACATCCATGTGAGAGAGACATATGGATTGGTTGCCTCCTGATCCAGGGCGGGGGATCCTGCAATTGAACCTGGAACCCTTCAGTCTGAGGGCCAGCACTCTAGCCACTGAGCCAAACTTGTCAGGGCCTATTTTTTGGCCTTGTCTGTCGCTCTGATCAAACTTTAGACCAGGTTTTCTCAACAGCAGCATGACTCACATTTTATGCCATGTAGTTTGTTGTTGTGGGAAGCCATCATGTGCACTGTAAGATGACAGCATTCCTGGACTCTACCCACCAGATGCCAGGAGTATCAGTTGTGAATACTAAAAATGTCTCTAGACATTGCCAAAAGTTCCTGAGGAACATAACTACTCCCAATTGAGAACCACCGCTTTAGACTTAGAGTCTTTACAGGCAGGAGTCCTGGCACTGAGTACTGATGAACTCTGACTAAAATTAAACAGTATTATCTGATACTTTGAAAAGTAGGATGCTTGAATGTTTTCAGCAAGACATCCAGCTTCCTCTCCACAACATTAAATTCTAAGTGTACAATATTATTTGGGTGTCAAATATACCAGCTGGGACCAGTCAAAATTAGATATGTGTAATATTTTGTACTTTATACATAGGGGGTAGAATATCAAGGAAAGTTTTTTTCATTGAAATGCTTTGGAGCCCTGGCTGGGTAGCTCAATTGGTTAGAGGCCATTGGATTTGTCTTAATACACCAAGGTTGTGGATTTGATCTCTGGTCAAGGCACAGATAGGAATCAACCAATGAATGCATAAATGAGTGGAACAACAGATATTTCTCTCTCTCAAATCAATAAAAAATAAAATAAATAAAGGCTTTGGAGACAGGTGATTGGTTTTTCTTTAAGATGACATCAATTCAATGTAGCTTTTAGGTCTGACAGTGAGTAACCAAGAAGAGCAACAAACCCAAGTATTTATGGAGAGGAGGCCTTCAGATACCCACCTGATGATACAGTCCATCATTTCACAAACTTTCCAACAGAAAAAAATTTGAATCTAAAATATTCCTTTGTAAAAGAACAAACCAAAACGATTGCTCTTGGTTATCCTCTGGGAAAATAGCAAAGCACTGTTTTCAACTTTGAATTTCATAAAGGATATGTAAATTGCAGCCATTAATGTTTGACACTTGGCAGACACCCTCAAAAATGTTATGGGTATATGCTTGGTTTTCAGCATGGGAATAAGATGCAACACCTTTCAAGTCCTTTTTATTAGCAGCATGGTCTCTTTGGTGTCTTTATTAATGGATTTCGTTTGACTAACATTAATCAGGCAGTATCAGAATTTTGTTGTTCTTCCTAGCAAATGCTCCATTTTCCCTTCATAGCTAAGTTTTCCACACATACCTGCGATTTCCACTTCCTCATGAACTCTCTCTTTGATTTCCCATTCTATTGGAATTGCTGTTTGAAAGCTAAAAGATATCTCCCCAAACAAACCTAATGGCCTCTCCATTAGGCTCTTTTTGAATTTTTCTGTTCCCTCTGAAAACAAGGATCACTCTTTTCCTCTGGATATGTCTGTTTTAGTTAAAGGGTATGCTGGTCAATACTGAGCCAGAATCTTTTTTTTTTTTTTTAAATATATTTTATTGGTTTTATTCAGAGAGGAAGAGAGAGAGAGAGATAGAGAGTTAGAAACATCGATGAGAGTCATGGATCAGCTGCCTCTTGCACACCCCCTACCGGGGATATGCCCGCAACCAAGGTACATGCCCTTGACCGGAATTGAACCCGGGACCCTTCAGTCCCCAAGCCGACGCTCTATCCATTGAGCCAAACCGGTCCCGGCCTGAGCCAGAATCTTAAAGGTCCACACCACTCATCCTTTCCTGCTTCCAACAGTGCACAAAGGAAGGCTATGTCTTGAAAGACCCTATTCACTCTCCTCCAGATCCCACCCTTTTATAAGCCCATTCAAGGCATCCTCCTCATGAAAATTTCCCAGTTGAGTTTGCTGTCTCAAGCAGCCGAATTTCCTTGCCCTTTATTGCAGCCTACACATATCATCTCCTTAGAACCGAACTTCTCAGGAAAGGGCAGGGAGATTCGGCTGCTTGGAACAGCAAACTCATTTTTTTTTTTTTCTTTCCAGAATCCCTTGACTGCCTGAAGTAAAGCACTTGGTTAGAATATATGTTTCCCCATAAGCCTTTCCAGACTTAAGATGAATGAAAAGGAGTAATACCATTCAGCATTTGCCTGTTTCAGCTGTTCAAAAGTCTTTCCTCTCTGGGAGACTAGCGGCCCGGGCAGAAAAAGCCGCCGTCAGAACACAGCACTTTCAGATTAAAAACTGCAAAGGGTCTGCTTGGGAAGGTCTCCAGATGTCCTTCCCTCCTGATCCACGGGCACTTTAATAAGCGAGGCGGCCGTCCGGAGACTACGGAAGGGAGAATTAACGCGCAGATCCTTACCAAAAACGTTCCTGAACCCTGGGACAGGTTTCTCTTCTGCCCTTGCGAACTAAGCGGGTCTTTCTCTCCGTCCTCCCCCTCCGGCCCCGCCCCTGCCCGTGAGGACGCTCGCGAGGGGTGGGAAGTCAAGATAATAACAGCACCAGGGCCTGAAAGGGGCTTTCAGGCGCCCTGGGAGCGGCAGCATCTCCGACGTTTCGGAGCCGCGCGGAGGGAAGGAGGGGCGCGGCGGCCGGAGGAGGAAGCCCCGCCGCTCTCCTCTTCAGCGCTGGGAAGTCGCCGGGAATGGGGACTCACCTTCCCTGAACCCGCGACCTGGAGGCCGAACCCAGCTGGTCGCGGCAGGGCCTGCCAGAAGCCCTCGGAACAGCCGCCCACACTGGGACACCAGCGCACTGAGGGCCGCCATCTTGAAGACCAAGGATGACCTCTCGGGCACTTCCGCTTCCGGAGCGGCGCACGCGCAGCCGCCGTGATGGGCGAGACTCGCGCAGGTTGTGGGCTTCTCGCTCTGTTACCCCTGTCACTTCCTTTCCCTTCACCTTTCTAGCTTTTGGCAAAGGGTAGAGGCCTCTGTGTCGAGGCTGTGCTTCGTTCCCAGGAATAGGGGAGGGCTTCTAGCTCCCGTCTGCCAGTCCCCGGAGTCTACGAGGTCGCTTTCGTTCCCTGGCAGGCTTCCCCCTGCAGTCACATGCACTACTCCTGTATCTTGAAAGCTTTTTCTTCTCTGCAAATCAGATGTGGCTATTCAGCTTCTTGTGGCTGAAGCTAGGCCTGTACAGGAGAGTTGAGATGGTTAGGAGCACTGGTTCTGGAGCATTAGGTATCAGGGAAACCTAAGATGGAATTAATATTCCTCTTTCCCACCCTGACATCCATTCTCATCTTTGGCCAAGGCTTTTTCACAGCTGTTTTCCTCTATCTTCTTTTTGCCTATCTGGTAAACTCCTACTTATTTCTCAGAACTCAGCTCAAACTTCCCTTCCATAGTGGAGTCTTTCTTGAAAACCTCCCTGTTGCTGTTCTCTCAGCACCAGATACCTCTCCATCTTAGTACCATATTTTCCAGCGTATAAGACTACCCCCTAATTTTACAGTTATAACATAGGTTTAGGCCTATATTCACCGTGTAAGACTACCCCCCATTTCAAAGAAAAGACTTACTTTGCCATCAGGATCTGCAGGTAATTTTTGTGCAATTTTGGTCTTTTGCCCCCGATTTTCGGTTGACTTTTTTTCGTTTCAAAAGTCGTCTTATATGCCGGAAAATACGGGTACTTGGCATAATGGCAGTTTTACATTTGCTTGTGTAATATATGTTTCCCCATGAGACAGTGTGCTCCATGAAGGCAAGGACATTGCTTATTGTTGACCCTCATATCTCCAGCACATAGCACAGTGCCTGATACACAATGCATGCAATATGTGGACACAAAGGGGCCACATTCTAACCTGACTAACTCAGGCAAAGCCTGATTGGTGGCCTTGAAAACACAGAGACTTAGAGTAATCACAAAGTATGGTCTAAATTGAAAACTTTTAAAATTAAAAAGCAGTTTATAGTTCACTGTTGACTGTTAACTATCCTGTACCCACCTATGTAAAAGAAGCATGTGCCCATTATTTTTTATCAATCCCAGAGGACCACCCCTCCCCCCAGCTTTGCTTTCTCCTATCTCCCTAATATATCAAACACCCACATTTTTTGTTTCAGTATCAAAAAGAAAGTAAAGGTGCTCAATTTTCCCTCTTTTGGATTCACAGGGACATAATATGTTCTCCTGGAGCTTCCTAAGAAAAGGAAGCCATTCACAGCTCAACTCTTCCATTTGGTGGTTGGGATATTCTTTTCCACCCTCCACAATAAACCTGAAGGGGGATTTTCTAGTTATCCTACTCTGATTCATAGATGGGAAAAGTCAGGCTCATTAAATGGCACAGCTCATTCGATGATGGGGGAAGGAGCATACCTTCCAGTTGGGACTGCCACTCTGGTGGACCAAGAGGATGCAGAGCAGCTGCTGCTTAGGCATCTTGAGTGGCATCACCACAGATAAGAGAGCAGGAGAAATGTGGCATTGGAGTAACTAAAACATGTGTTTAGCAAGGGCAGATTCTGGGAAGGGGAAATTTGAAAGCCAATCTAGATGTGTGAGACTGACACATGGTAGGGTGGAGCACAGCATCATTTATTAAAAATATTAGAGGCCTGGTGCATGAATTCATGCACAGGTGGGGTCTGGCAGGCCCACCCCCAATCAGGGTTGGGGGGAATGATGGGGGCGGGGCTGGTGGGGGAGGGGCTGCAAGTGGCTGGCTGGCTGGCCCTACCCCTTGGTCCAACTCCCGGTTGAGGGGGCAATTTGCATATTAGCCTTTTATTATGTAGTGTTATACTTTCCACCTGGCTAGCATGACTCAGTGGTTGAGCATCAACCTATGAACCAGGAGGTCATGGTTTGATTCTCAGTCAGGGCACATGCCCCAATTGTGTGCTCAATTCCCAGTGTGGGGCATGCAGGAGGCAGCCAATCTATGATTCTCTCTCATCATTGATGTTTCTATCTCTTTCTCCCTTTTTCTTCATCTCTGAAATCAATAAAAATATATTAAAAAAATACTTCCCCCCATTGCTTTTTATCTGGTGTGGATCTGTTTCTGGAACTTCTATTTGGTTCCATTGGTCCTTTATCACCATTTTTAATGGCTATATACTATTCTATGGTCTGGAAGTGTCATAACTTACTCAACCAATCCCCAAGTGCTAGTCATTTAGATTGCCTTTAATTTGAATGTATTTTCTAAGATCTATCTTCCTATTCCAAATATAGTATCTTCTTTTTTATCACTGAGTCTCCCCAGTTGGATATGTTGTAGATTTTTGAAAAATATAACTGCTATAGAATAAAAGGGAGCGAGGGCTCTTTTCTGGGGGCTGCAAATGATAGCTTCCATCCAATTGAAGGGCCTTTTCTTTTTTTAAATTAAATTATTTAATTGAGAGAGAGAGAGAGAGAAAGAGAGAGAGAGAGAGAGAGAGAGAGAGAGAGAGAGAGAGAGAGAACATGATTTGTTGTTTCCCTTATATATCCATTCCTTGCTTGATTTTTGTATGTGCCCTGACTGGGGATCTAATCCATAATGTTGGTGTATGGGGACAATGCTCTGATCAGTGGAGCTCCCCGGCTGATTTGAAGGGCTTTTCAAGAGCCAGAGTTTCTGGAGCTGTTGACAGAGTCACTCTTCTGGATGTGAAGAATTATTTTCAGTTCTAGTATCAATCCTGGAACGTGAAGAGCAGCAATGCACTGTATACACATCTCTGAGAGAAGGGAGGCTGATGAGCACTTCATATCCTGACAAAATCTTCTTTCCACTCATCTCCTGAGGAGCCCAGCCTCCTTATTTCCACACATTTCCTTTTTTTCCTTGACCCCTTGCTCCTTGACACCTTCCTCTTCTTTTTCTAAATATATTTTTATTGATTTCAGAGAGAAAGGGAGAGGGAGATAGAAATATCAAGTGGTGAGAGAGAATCATTGATGGGCTGCCTTCACACGCCCCACGCTGGAGATTGAGCCACAACCTGGGCATGTGTCCTGACCAGGAATTGAACTGTGACCTCCTGGTTTATAGGTCGACGCTCAACCACTGAGTCATGCTGGCTGGGCCTGGACCCTATTCTTAAATTGGGATGTAACACAAGTCCCAAGCAACCTGTCCAAGTGAAGATACTCAGGGCAACATTCACAAGAGACAAATCCAGAAATGTTTATTTTGCCAAGACAAACTTAAAACTCCCAGCAGAAATGATCTGGTCTAGTGACTTGCTTCCTTTTTTTTTTTTTTTTTTTTTTTTTTTTTTTTTTTTTTTAAATAAGCTTTTATTGATTTTTAGAGAGAGAGAGGAAAGAAAAGGGAGAGACAGAAACATCAATGATGAGAGAGAATCATTGATGGGCTGCCTCCTGCACACCTCACACTAGGGATCGAGCCTGCAACCTGCTTCTGGCCAAAGGGACAGCCTGGTCAGGCTAGAGCAAAGGCCAGAGTTAGGAGGCCATGGGCGGGTCAGCCTGTCTATGGCTTCGGGACTGAGGAAGTTTTGGTCCCAGCTGTGGATGAATGTGTTCTTCCAGCCTTCCTCCCACCTCTCTTAGGAAGAGTGGGTCCGAGCCAAGAGCCACACAGATGTTCACCATGAATGAGCAGAGGCCATGAAAAGGCGCGGGAAGGTGGAGAGAGCTGACCTGGTAGAGACCATGATGGGAGGGAGCAGCAAGAGAAACCGGGAGAAAGGACTGGTGGGGTGAGTGACTGTCAGGTTTGCTTTCTCCTAATTAATGTGGTTTCCTTACAAACTCCCTGCTGATTCCCAGCTGGCGGGAGAAACCATAACAACATGTGGCCTGCCCTGACTGGGCCGGGAGCTGAGGCGGCGAGCCTCCCAAGAAGGGTCTGGTTTCATTTTCAGCCTCTACCCCTCCTCCCCAACCGGCTTTGTGCAGATGCGGAAGGGACAGGATCTGGGTTGGGAGAGAATGTCGCGTTGTGGGGACAACCAGGACAACTTGTTTTGGGCTCCCTGGCTACTCACCTTGGTTTCCCATGACCTTTAAAAAAGGGCAGTTTCTGCTTGTTTGGGCTGCGGCTTCCAAACAGGTATGGCTGGGGGTGGGTGAGGAGACCTTGGGCGAAGATCCCCTGCTCCGTGGTGGCCTCTCTGCAGGTGTGCCCCGTTTGAGCAACAGGCCTGGAAACAATCGTGGTGTGTCTAGAGGCCTTGCTAATTCAGGGCTCTCCATCGATTTTTCAGAATCACTCCTTTGCCTCACGAAGGGCTCTGATTCTGTCCCAGTTATTCATCTTCTCCCCTCCTTTGTTCATTGATTCACTTCACCTGCGAGCATCCATTGAGCAGCTACTACGTGCCTTCTGTAAACAAATGATTCCATGTCAGGGGTGGGTGTGGGTAAACTCTCCAGGAGTGAGAGCTCTTGTCTGACAAAGAAACATTTTGTAAACCAGATGATGGCTCTGGGATGTATTTGCTTTCTCCCACCCACTCCCCATCCTGCCCCATTTAAAAAAAAAAGTTTTTTTTTAAGTAGTAAAATAAAAACACATGCAGAAGTACATGAAAGCCTAAATGACCCATATAACAGATTAATTGTAAAACAAAACTGACTCATTTCTATACTGCATCATGAGGGCATGTTGTTGGAAAGGGGGTAGAGAATACAAAAAACTGGTGACAGCGGTGAGAGGCAGTGTTAGGGGCCTTCAGAACCTAAACCCTTTCAGGAGACTGAGGACAGAGGAAAGAGCCCCCAAACAAACAGTGGACTGGGAGCGAGCCTGGGGTGCCCTTGGCGAGCACTCCCTAGGCTTAGCCAGACTCCTCTCCGA